AGGCTTCTTATTCTCTTTCAATGCAAGTAACTGTTTGCGTCTTAGTGACATTACCACCTTCTTTGATGGGAAATGATTAAAAAATAAAATATGTATAGAGTTTGGCACAAGAGGCTTTTTTTTTTCAGATATCCATTGGAGGTATTTTAACTTTGGATAAGAGAATACTATCTTTGGAAATTGGAAGAAGAAGAAGAAAAAAAAATGACTTCATGGAACCATGAGTGATAGCTTTATGCATGAATCGACAAAATTGGACAAGTTCCATGTTAATTGAATTTTTGTTACAATAACCACGTCGGGAATAGCCGCAGATGTGCAGATGCTTCCTTACCAGAGAAATTGTCGCTGTTAACTTAAATTGCCCGTCTCGTTTTAAGATATATATCCAGCGGCCGTGGAAATGATTCTGTCCGAGCTGATTCAACCGCCATCTGGTGGTGATTAACTAAACTAAACACTTTTTAATGTCAGGGAAAAACACCCACACCCAACACAACAAAAGAAAAACATGGCAGATTCAAACAGAACTTGCAATCAATCATTGTTATTAAATGTAATTATTTCCTTCATAAAAATGGTGATTTGAAAAATATTACTAAAAGATGTCAGTTCACAGATTATTTGCAGAATTTCTATGGGATTTTTCGTAGAGTGATGGTTAACGAGACCGATGCATTCAGTCCGATGAGTACGTTTTTTAAATTCCATTCATTCGTTCTTTCATTTTTTTCTTTCCCCTCTCTCTCTCCGCCACTCTCTATCTCTCTTGCCCTCGCCATTGCGCTCTCAATATCTATCTATCTATCTATCTATCTATCTATCTATCTATCTATTTAGATAGATAGATAGATAGATAGATAGATAGATAGATAGAAATGAATAGACTGAAAAAAATATATGCATATGAAAAATCTGCGATAGAGAGAGACAAGCAGAAAGATAGATGAGGACAGATTGAATAAGTAATAGATAGATAGATAGATAGATAGAATGAGATGAAGAGATAATTATATTAAAATCATATGTTGTGCGTTGGTACGTAGATAATAAACCAATAATACTGCCGATTTACACATAAAGATAAGTAAAATTATTATTATTATTATTTACATAGCAGTCCCTGCAAGACTGCAATATATCTTTGAATATCTTCAGAAAATTATAAAAATACAAAGACCTTCAAATTGAAATCTCAAAACTGTCGTGCATGAGGAGAGTAACAATTCCATTTGTAGTTGGAGCCCTCAGACTGATTGGAAAAGACTCCAATAGACTCATTGAAGGGATTGCTGGTAGCCCATGCCTTAAAGAAATATAAAAAATAGTACTCACAAGTACAGCCCTCATCTTATGAAGGGCTTATTCTATGTAAAATATGTGTGATTTTTTTCAAAATTGCTCAATGGAAAATGTCAAGATACCATTTCTGACCTTAGGTCTCTGGTCAGAACCAGGAAAGAAATCAGTATATACCAGAAAATAAAAGAAATATTTTGATGATCCTTTTATTTATTTATTTATTTCGACTAAATAGCCCTTAGTACATTTTGAAATATAACAATTAACTCCTACCCCAAAACAGGATAATACAATAAACCGGAGATACCAGATTTCGCCTTATTAAGCAGCATATATAAATAGTCCAGCCAACACACAATGCACATATATGAAACAGACCTTCGCCACTCAGTGTTCAATTTTATATTTAGGCATGTGTGTGTCTTTTTATGTATGTCACCCATTAGCAAAGCATTATTTTTTTTCCATTATATATTCTATTATTTGTATTGTTTATATATATATATATATATATATATATATATATATATATATATATATATATATATATATATTAAACTCCTAAATTTAGCTGTCTCTTCTACTCCAATAGCTTCGTGTCGTGCACCTCTCGCCTGTGGAACTCCTTCCCTGTTCCAGTTTTCCTGAGAGCTATAATCTCCAGCTATTCAAATGTAATGTCAATCGACATCTCTAGTTGCCTTGATCTATCCACTATCCTTCTCCTCATCCTTTCGTCTATCACTCCTATCTGATCTTGCTCCAAATCTTCTGCAAACCCCTTGCGTCCTAGTGGCTTCACGCCTTGCTTGGGTGATACGCTTAATATATATATATATATATATATATATATATATATATATATATATATATATATATATATATATATGCATCATTGTGTAGGTTGCTTTAATGTAATATTCAACAAAAAGTAATCCATTTTCACTAGATTTTGCAGAAAGCGTTATTACATCTGTATTAGTACATTGTGTCCTAAATAAAATTAGTGGATCCCCAGGGACCAAACGCTATCTCTTTATTACCAGTGCCCTTCACTTATAAATGATTTGTGGATCATATTGGATGGAATATGGTAAAATATAATTTGTATTTAAATGGTTGTCAGAGAAGAAAGAGGTGGATATAAGGTCGCCGCTGACGCATGCTTTCTTCCCCTTCTTATTATCATTTTTTCAAATAAAATCACATTTTGTTGAAGTTATAACGCAAACTATTAAAACACAATCATGTGCCATTTCATTTGATCCAAGTTTTTCTTTTAAATTGACGATGTAAAATCACGATATTCACGAGGTGAACATTTCTAAATCCAATGAGAAGTAACTGCCAAGAATACGGTTCCATAGATCCATCAACAAGCCAGATACTTCGATTTGTTTGATTGCAAAAATATATACATTAAAAAGAACAAAAATAAATAAAAAAATGTATGGTTGTATTCTTTTACACACACACACACACACACACACACACACACACATATACACATATATATATATATATATATATATATTGAACAATAAAAAATATTAAAAAATTAAAATCTTCAGACACACTGGGTTGTAGATTAATATTCTTGCGTTTTTTTTTACTATTATTTCATTTAGATTCCTATATATATATATATATATATATATATATATATATATATATATATATATATATATATATATAAAAAATGAAGAGAACAGCTGAATCCGCTACTTAACAGTATGCTCAGTCAGAGACTCTTACCCTAGTCTATCGGAGCATGGCAGAAAAATGGAATTGTTTAACGCATTATATACATGCCATATAAATGCCATACCGAAGAGCGATGCATGAAAAATATATATATATATATATATATATATATATATATATATATATATATATATATATAAATACTAATATATATATATATATATATATATATATATATATATATATATATATATATATATATATATATATACCATTGCTTCTAATGTGTTTGGTTTCGGTGTCATTTCCTTTGGAGTTCTTATCAGAAAGTTTCAGCCGCCCAAGCTGAAATGCGATGCCAAAGTGAAGCTCTTTAAGCTGAAAAAAGGACCAACAACAGAAAGCAAAGTTGATTAAAGCAGCTGGAAGCGTTTGTGTTTACACAAGGAAATGAACGCGAGTCTCAACCGAAAAAGATCAATATTTTAATACGTTTTCTGATACAAATAGGTTTTTCTGATTCTAAGGATTCTCCACAAGAGAAAAGTTTGGAAATGAGTTAGGAAGGTAAATGAAAACTTGACAAAATGAGAAAAGTGAGAAACGTGAGATTAAGGAGATGGGGAAAGAGAGATAAGCAGAAATGTAAGAAGGGAAAACAAAGATAAAAGAGAGAAGAGGAAAGAGATGGGAAATGAGTGAGTAATCGACAGAAGAAAAGAATGAAAAGAGTGATGAAAGGTCGAAAAAAATGAAAAGAAAAATGAAAAATGGAAAAGTGGGTGGAGGAAGAAGGCGGTGAGAAATAAAAGGAAAAAGAAAAATAAGAAGGAAAAATAAAAATAAGAAGGAAAATGAATCAAATATAGTGCAGAGGAATAAATGAAAAATTGAATTGAATGAAATAAGAAAAAAATGAAAGAAAAATGATGAACGAGAAAAAAAATCAAAGAAAAAATGAGTAAAAAAATATGATGTAAAGAAAATGGAGAGAAATAAAAATACGAAGAACAGCAAGACGAGAAAGAAAGAAAGAAAGAAAGAAAGAAAGAAAGAAAGAAAGAAAGAAAGAAAGAAATGAAAAAAAGGAAAATAACTAGAAAGAAAAACAGAGAGGCAAATGAAGAAAGAAAATAAAAACGGAGAAAGAAAAAATAAAAACGGGGAATAATAAGATGAAAAGAAAGAAAGAATCAAAAAAGAGAAAGAAAAAATTTGACAGTTGTATGAATCATTCGAAAGAGAAAAAAAAATGAAGAAAAATTCTAGAAAATGAAAGAAAGCAAAATAGATAAATCGAAAGAAATGGAAAGAAAGAAAGAAAAGAAAAGAAAATGACAAAGATATTGGAAAGAAAAGAGAGGGTGGAAAAGATAGTAGTCACAAAGACAAAAGAAAGAAAGAATGACAGAATGGAAAGTAGGAAGTGAAGAAGAAGAAAGAAAGAAAGAAAGAAAGAAAGTCGGTCACATATAAGAAACAAAAATTTCAGGAATAAAAACGGCACATGAAAAAAATACAAAAAAACAATTCAAACACTTTTTTTCTTTGTATTTTTTTCAACATAACCAGAAAATAAAAACTGGAAGAGATAAAATGTTTTCGGGAAAAAGATATAAAATTAAACAATAAACGAATGAATTTAAGAATAAAAAATGAAAGATAAAATATCAAATTAAATAAAACTATATATAACAGAAACATTAAAAAAAAAAAGAGGGAGGCGTTTCCAGCTCTGACGATTTCGTGGGTAAACTTAATCAAGCAGTTTTAACGTCATCAAAGATTTTGAAAAACTATAGCAAAACAGACGCAAAAAGAGTTGCTGCCGATTCTTTAAACAAACTGGAATGTCTTTTATTTATTTACTTTATTTTATTCTTTTCTTTTTTTGTTAGTATTTGTGTGTGTG